CTATCCACTGCCCTGCTGCACTCCATGATCTAATAATAATTCCTCTCCCTCTTGCTATCCAATACCCCTGCACCCTTCCTTGCCCTGCTGCACTGTATGACCCTAGTAGGTTCAGTGCTTCTTTTTGATAATAATAATAATTATGTTGTTAACCTTCATAAACCCATATGCTAATAAGTCAACTCCTAAACATCTGAACACATTCACTTCTTCCATACTCCCTCCCTCCAATGTGATATCCATTTTTTCTTTATCTAAATTGTTTGACACCCTCATCGCCTTACTCTTATCTATGTTCACTTTCAACTTTCTACTATATTCATTATATAAGGGAATGCTTGTTGCACAATGGATATTAAATAACACAGGAAGGTGAAATATTAAATACTAACTCTATTTCTCTAAGATGATAATGTCATTACTCATTACTTGGTCTGGTGTGTTAGTTACTGGTTGTCAAAGGAACTTGTTGATAAACACTTGGCCAGGAGTGTGTGTACACTGAAAAATACAGTAGTCACTCAGGAGCCAGGCATAAGGTGCAGTCAGCACAGTGAGTTTAGCTACAGTGTGATGCACAGGTGAGTTGTAGCACAGTGGTGATGCACAGGTGATGTGTGTACTACAGTGGTGATGACAGGTGAGATGTAGTACTAAGTGTGATGTCAAGGTGAGATGAGTAGCATCAGTGGTAGTAACAGTGTGAATGAGTAAAGTGGTGGAACTGTTAACCTGTCAGGACAGGGACACAAAAGTTCTGTCAGACCAGCAAGTACATGCAGATCCTTGTTTCGTGGTAACAGAAAGCTAGCTCAACAAACACAGATTCTGAGCAACAAGAGTACAGACATGCAGAGCAACCATGATGCCACTAGACCAGACCCAACCAGCCAGACCAACCCACACAGACTGCACCTAGCCAGACCCACCCCCAGACCCAACCCCACCAACCCCACCAGCCAACCAACCCTACCAGACCCAACCCTAACCAGACCCAACCCTAGCCAGACCCAACCCAACCAGACCCCACCCTAGCCAGACCCAACCCACACCAGACCCAACCCTAGCCAGACCCAACCCACACCAGACCCAACCCTAGCCAGACCCAACCCACACCAGACCCAACCCTAGCCAGACCCAACCCACACCAGACACCCAGAACCCAAAGACCAAGCACCCAACCCACCAGACCCAACCCACACCAGACCCAACCCACACCAGACCCAACCCCCAGCCCCACCTAGCCAGACCCAACCCACACCAGACCCAACCCTAGCCAGACCCACCACCAGACCCCCACCTAGCCAGACCCAACCCACACCAGACCCAACCCTAGCCAGACCCAACCCACACCAGACCCCCAACCCTAGCCAGACCCAACCCTAGCACAGACCCAACCCACCAGACCCAACCCCTAGCCAGACCACCCAACCAGACCCCACCTAGCCAGACCCAACCTACAGACGCCAACCAGCAGACCCAACCCTAGCCAGACCCAACCCACACCAGACCCCCCACCCTAGCCAGACCCAACCCTAGCAAGACCCAACCCTAGCCAGACCCAACCCACACCAGACCCCCACCCTAGCCAACCCAACCTGCACCAGACCCCCACCCTAGCCAGACCAACCACACCAGACCCCACCTAGCAGCCCAACCCTAGCAAGACCCAACCCTAGCCAGGCCCAACCTGCACCAGACCCCCACCCTAGCCAGACCCAACCTGCACCAGACCCCCACCCTAGCCGACCAACCTAGCAGACCCAACCCACACCAGACCCCCACCCTAGCCAGACCCAACCTGCACCAGACCCCCACCCTAGCCAGACCCAACCCACACCAGACCCCCACCCTAGCCAGACCCAACCTTTGCACCAGACCCCCACCTAGCCAGACCAACTGCACCAACCCCACCTAGCCAGACCAACTCCACTAACCCCCTCCCTAGCCAGACCCAACTTGCACCAGACCCCACCCTAGCCAGACCCAACCCACACTAGACCCCCACCCTAGCCAGACCAACCCCACCAGACCCTGCCCTAGCCAGACCAACCCCACAGCCCCACCTAGCCAGACCCAACCCACACCAGACCCCCACCAGACCCAACCCACACCAGACCCCCACCCTAGCCAGACCCAACCTGCACCAGACCCCCACCCTACCCAGACCCAACCCTCACCAGACCCCCACCCTACCCAGACCCAACCTGCACTTGACCCCCACCCTAGCCAGACCCAACCCACACCAGACCCCCACCCTAGCCAGACCCAACCCACGCAAGACTATACCCACACCAGAGCATACCCACACCGGACCCCCCACCCTAGCCAGACCTAACCCACACTAGACCATACCCACACCAGACCCCCCACCCTAGCCAGACCCAACCCACACTAGACCCCCACCCTAGCCAGACTCAGCCCACACTAGATCATACCCACACCAGAGCATACCCACACCAGACCACACTCACACCAGACCATACCGCACCAGACCAACACTCACACCAGACCATACTCACACCAGACCATACTCACACCAGACCACACCTACACCAGACCATACCCACACTTGCACCAGACCACACCTACACCAGACCATACCCATGCCCACACCAGACCACACCCACACCAGACCACACCTACACCAGAACATACCCATGCCCACACCAGACCACACCTACACCAGAACATACCCATGCCCACACCAGACCACACTCATACCAGACCACACTGACACCAGACCACACCCACACCAGACCACACCCACACCAGACCATACCCACACCCTAGCAGGAGGTACAGGGGCATTAGAAATGTCCGAAGAGTGGTCAAATAACGAGGTAGGGTCAGAACAGGGTGCAGTAGCAGAAAGGGGTCTGGGAGGAGCTGGTTCATGGTTGGGGATTCCATGGTTAGGTCATTTTTTTCTTTTTGTTATTTATTAAAAAAGAAAAGAGGGAAAAAAGAATAAAAAAAGGGGGGGGGAATGTGGAGGGATAGCTCCTAGGAGGAATGAAAGGGCCATGAATCCCCCTCTCCTCGCAAGAGGACCCTAGTACTGCAAGTAGTGCAGATGTGGCATGAAACCCGTGCCATACCCTACTCTTCATGCCAGTAAACCAGCAATAGGGATAGCAACCTCACATCTACCAAGCCACCTCAGTGGACAAAAGAGGGGGTGGCTGGATACCTGCCACAAATCATACTTCCTTTGGCCCCCACCCCCCAGAATCCGAAAGACAGCCTCCAGAGATACACTCGTTACCTGAAACACACCCAAATCCACCCCCTGGGAGACTGGAGAGAGACTGGGACATCCTCAGGTGATTCAGATTCCACGGCAAACCACACCACCACCACCACCACCACTACAGACCTCCAAGGAATGGGATGGACCACGGTACCGTTCCCCCTACCTAGGAACTAGAGTGCCTGTAGAAAGAATCCCAAAGGCTGAAAACAGGAAAGGGATAGGGAAGGGATGGGGAGAGAAGGAGGAAAGGGAAAGGGGGGATAGGGAGGATGGGATAGGGAAGGGGGGGATAGTGAGGGTGGGATAGGGAAGGGGGGATTGGGGGGGTAATTAGGTTCAGTCTGAAGAAGGAGACCAACAGGTCTAATTCCTCAGACCAAAAGGTTCTTCACCACACCAAGGAGCCCCCCTTGAAGAGGAGGTTAACAATAGAATTGATGAAGGAAAAAAGTTGAGTGGGTGTTTTGAGGCATCTGTGGAGACAAAAATCGTTATCCATGGAGGCAAAGAAGGGAATGTATGAGAGTATAGTGGTACCAACACTCTTATGGAGGCAGTGGAGATGTCCTGTCTAAGGGCAATGTGTGGTGTAAATATTATGTAGGGAATTCGTAGTGTGGAAATTAGGAGGTGTGGAGTTAATAAAAGTATTAGTCAGAGGGCTGAAGAGGGGTTGTTGAGGTGGTTTGGTCATTTTAGAGAGAATGGATCAAAGTAGAATGACTTGGAGAGCATATAAATCTGTAGGGAAAGGAAGGCAGGGTAGGGGTCGTCCTAGGAAAGATTGGAGGGAGGGGATGAAGGAGGTTTGGTGGGCGAGGGGCTGGGACTTCCAGCAAGCGTGTGTGACTGTGTTAGATAGGAGTGAGTGGAGACAAATGGGTTTGGGACCTGACGAGCTGTTGGAGTGTGAACAGTGTAATATTTCGTGAAGGGATTCATGGGAACCTGTTAGTTGGACTTGAGTCCTGGAGGTGGGAAGTACAATGCCTGCACTTTAAAGGAGGAGTTTGGGATATTGGCAGTTTGGAGTGACGTCTAAACTGTCGTATCTGAGCACCTCTGCAAAGACAGTGATTATGCATGAGTGATCATGACAGTGTTGAATGATGAAAGTTTTTTCTTTCTTTTTGGGTTTTTCTTTTTTTTTGGGTCACCTTGCCTCATTGGGAAACAGGCAATGTGTTAAAAAAAAATAGTCATTATAACTTTTAAAAATGAAAAGTACAGCCTCTCCTCACTTAACGACAGAGTTCCATTCCTAAGACCACGTCAGTAAACGAATTCGTCACTAAGTGAGGAGCATACTATAATGGTAGTGGGTTTCTGTCAGCCATCTTTGATATTGTTTTAATGTCACCTTTGCACCATTTATAACATTTCTGGTATATTTTTAAATGTTTATACAGTAGTGTACTGTATTTTGTAATAAGCAGAATAGAGGAAATCAGTTCTAATATACATTATTTAGGTATACAAATTGGTCAGAGAGCCCTTTGTAAGTCTGAGTCGTCAGTAAACGAGTACGTTGCTAAGTGAGGAGAGGCTGTATAGTAAAAGTATCAGTATCAGCAAAAAATTTTGGTATGGTCCCATCCCTAGTACTAACCCTTCACATGTCTGCACGTTAGTGTAAACAAACCAGCCTCTTGTAGCACTGTTGGGTTCACCTGGTCTAGAGTTTCCTTGTAAATATAATAACACTAATAATGATGAAATTGTTACAAATATTCATTTGTTTCAGGCTGAGCTAGACCTGGACAACTGCGTGGATATTGCCACCATCGCAGAGACATATTCTCTCCACAGACTGAGGAAGAGAGTGTATTCGTTCATGACCTCTCATCTCCACCAGTTCAGCAAAATGTCAGATTTTCAGCGACTGACAGTGGTACAGCTGTTGCACCTGCTGTCATGTGACTATCCTGTGGATTGTACCGAGGCACAGGTGTTGCTGACAGTGGCTGGTTGGCTTCAGCACTGTCCGTCTGAACGTGCACGGCATGCTCCTGCGCTTCTTCGTGCACTCAACTTACACGAGGTTCCTGCTGCTGTGTTGGAGCGAGCAGCTCGCCTCTCCGTGCTAGAAGAACCATTAACAGCAGCACTCCGACTAACAGCATTGCCTGTATCACCGGCACCTCCTACTGGCCTTGTTAATTCAAGAGGCCTAGAATTGGCAGTGGTGAAGGTAGGTGGCTTCAGTATTGCTGGCATCACAAACGAGATAACTTACTTCTTGCCTTCGGTCGGTCGTTGGCGTCACCTGACTACTATCCCGCACGTTGAGCAGTGTAATTATGGTACGGCAGTGCTAAATAACCAGCTGTATGTAATTGGTGGGTGTTTTAATCAGTCACTGCAGGAAAACATTCACCCATTTGGCTTCAGATACAACCCTCAACACAACAAGTGGAGCACTATGGCCCCCATGCAGAGGGAACGCTGCAGATTTTCTCTAAGTGTGCTTGGTGGTCAACTGTACGCAGTGGGAGGAGCTAGTGAAGCCAGTGATGATGGTATCGGTGAAGATGAAAGTCTCTGTGAAGCTTATAACCCAACAAGTGACACTTGGACCCCTATTGCTGGTCTTCCTGGAGCTCGGGCACAGCATGCAGCAGCTGCTTTAAATTGTCTGCTCTATGTCAGTGGTGGGTTAGAAGGGGATCAAGTTCTGGACTCCTGTCATGCATATAATCCCAGTACAGGTGTGTGGGAGCCCCGGGCACCATTGTTGACACCACGGGCAGATCACTACTGTGTCACCTACGACAACTGCTTGTATATCTGTGGTGGTTGGTACGAAGATGATGCTACCAACACTAGAGTCTTAGTCGACACCATTGACTGCTACAACCCCAACACAGACAGCTGGGTGGTGGTGAGTCGAGTGCCTACACCTCGCTATCATGCAGGCATTGTTGTCATGGGCTCTAGACTCTACGTGATTGGTGGATTTCACTCTGATGCAACGTTTGATCGAGCAACTGGAGTGATTGAATGTTATGATCTGGAGACAGGTGTGTGGAGTGTAGAAAATGCTTACCCACAAGACATCTGGGAACATGTTTGTGTTCCACTATATGTACCGCGATGTAGGGACGATATGGATGTTTTAGCAATACCTAAATAATCTCATAACTATTCTATAAATGCTGTGTCAACTTTTAGCATATTTTTTATATACAAAATGTTTGACTATGGCCTTATTGACGTTTTAAGTGTGATTTATAAATTAAATTTTAACGTGTTTGTTTTATACAAGAAAACATTTATGTACTGTAGTTGTGCTTGGGGTTAAATCATAGCTCCTGGCCCTGCCTCTTAATGTTTACCAACCTGCTTTGCTGATGCCAGGAAACCAGTGGGTCTGATTATACCTACTCTTGAAGCTGTGTGTAGTTGCCTAAACCACTTTTTCTTTTGTGTTTGTGTAATTATATATGAGTTTTGGTGTCAAGCTCTAGATCTTGACCCCACCTCTTTCAGTCAACTGTCATGAAATTGTCCAGTCATATGTATTTTTAAACTGCTGTACAGAACTAACTTCCACTGTTATTGTTCAGTTCATTCCATTTCTTAACTACTCTTACAATAGGGGAACTGAATATCGATGGAAATTGAACACAGGATTCTGTTCAAAGTAGCAAATGTATCAGAAAATATATAGAGATTATTTACTGCTCACATAGATCCAATAAAGTATTTAAACTATTGGGAATGCCTTGAAGTCCTTGTAGAGGAAGTGTATCGAAATACTCCACCTTGTCTGTGATTGCTGAATTGAAATGGCTTAGTAGTTGGCAAATAGAAGTAGAGCAGGATAGTGTAAACTCATGTAGACTAGACTGGGTTTATTGGCTGTGGGATACACTAGATAGACTAGGCTGAGGGCAGCCAATGACAAGACCAAGAGCAGTAGGTGTTGACTGAAGGGCAGCTGTCGAGAGAGTGAGACATACAACGTCTGGTGATCTCGGGTTAAGTTAGAACCAAGCCACCAGATGGCAGCGCTAAGCCTAGTGGTCATGGTACAAGATGTAACAGCTGTTACATCCTTGAAGTATACTTTCTTGAGTGAAGAAGGGAGAAATGCTGACTATATACAAGGAAGATACTGGAAGGACAAGTCCCAAACCTACACATCACCTTATTGCTCATGGGAAACAATCAAGAACATTGTGTCGATATCGATGGTCAACAACATTCCATCGCTACCAGCACACCAGCCAAATTTGACAGACCTGTTTAAGTCTAACTCCCCCAGACCAACAGCCAGGTTGAGCAACACTTACCATACTACGAACCTAATATCGGGAAATATTTCCATAATATGTGTGTTTCAAGAGAAACTGAACTGCTACCTCCAATCCCCAAAGGTAAACAGGCTGTGAGGATGTGTGGACCAGCAGGCTGCCAACAGTAACTGCCTGATTCAACAGGCAGTCAGTATGACAGCCTGGTCCTAGGCTGGGCTGTGAATTTGAGCACAGATAGAGCCCAGGTGGTAATGAATGAGATTCTGTTTATTATTAAGCAAGTGTTTAGCCTCTAGTCTTAAGACAATTTCAGTTTTCCCCTGCCTTAAACTTGAATGGTAATGAGCCACTGTCAACAGAAGACTTAAGTTGTCATGAACACTGTCAACAGAAGACTGTCAGTTATGTTGAACACTGTTAACAGAAGACAACAGGCATTGTAGATGACTGGTTACAATGGAGGGTGTGCTTTATGTGAGCATCCAGGTTCAAGTACTCAACCATCCTCCTCCCAGATTACCAAGAGTAATGATCCTCATCCTGGTTCAAGTACTCAACCATAATCCTCCCAGGTTACCAGCAGTAATGATCCTCATCCTGGTTCAAGTACTCAACCATCCTCCTCCCAGATTACCAGCAGTAATGATCCTCATCCTGGTTCAAGTACTCAACCATCCTCCTCCCAGATTACCAACAGTAATGATCCTCATCCTGGTTCAAGTACTCAACCATCCTCCTCCCAGGTTACCAGCAGTATTGATCCTCATCCTGGTTCAAGTACTCAACCATCCTCCTCCCAGGTTACCAGCAGTAATGGTCCTAATCCTGGTTCAAGTACTCAACCATCCTCCTCCCAGGTTACCAACAGTAATGATCCTCATCCTGGTTCAAGTACTCAACCATCCTCCTCCCAGATTACCAGCAGTAATGATCCTCATCCTGTTCAAGTACTCAACCATCCTCTCCCAGATTACCAGCAGTAATGATCCTCATCCTGGTTCAAGTACTCAACCATCCTCCTCCCAGATTACCAGCAGTAATGATCCTCATCCTGGTTCAAGTACTCAACCATCCTCCTCCCACATTACCAGCAGTAATGATCCTCATCCTGGTTCAAGTACTTAACCATCCTCCTCCCAGATTACCAGCAGTAATGATCCTCATCCTGGTTCAAGTACTCAACCATCCTCCTCCCAGATTACCAAGAGTAATGATCCTCATCCTGGTTCAAGTACTCAACCCTCCTCCTCCCACATTACCAGCAGTAATGATCCTCATCCTGGTTCAAGTACTCAACCATCCTCCTCCCAGATTACCAGCAGTAATGATCCTCATCCTGGTTCAAGTACTCAACCATCCTCCTCCCAGATTACCAGCAGTAATGATCCTCATCCTGGTTCAAGTACTCAACCATCCTCCTCCCAGATTACCAGCAGTAATGATCCTCATCCTGGTTCAAGTACTCAACCATCCTCCTCCCAGATTACCAGCAGTAATGATCCTCATCCTGGTTCAAGTACTTAACCATCCTCCTCCCAGATTACCAGCAGTAATGATCCTCATCCTGGTTCAAGTACTCAACCATCCTCCTCCCAGATTACCAAAGCAGTAATGATCCTCATCCTGGTTCAAGTATTCAACCATCCTCCTCCCACATTACCAGCAGTAATGATCCTCATCCTGGTTCAAGTATTCAACCATCCTCCTCCCAGGTTACCAACAGTAATGATCATCATCCTGGTAAAAATTGTCTTTCATAAAAGTGATACACTAGCATAGATTTATTTCTGAAACGGCATAATAAACTGATGTATTTATACAATAATGTTTAGTGTTATTATGCAATATTATATACATATGTAATACTGTATGTATTATTGTTGTGCTGAATAGGTAAAACTGGTCAATTTCCAAGAACTCATTTAAAATTAAGTTCTTTCTAAAATTTTCTCTTATGCATTTAAAGATATATTTTTTTCATGTTAATGTAAAAATTAATAATTTTGTACCAAAAAAAATTAGAAAATTTACCTAACCTTATTATAACAAGCACAATTTAATTTAGCCTAATCCAACTAAATATATTTTAGATACATTTACAGTAATTTAATAATAAAGAAACAATGAAATATATTTTTTTCATTTAGTTCTGAATGATTTTTGCAAAATTATTGCATACACAAATTTTCACTTGTCTTATTTGGCAAGAAGAGCATTGCTATTTAATCTAAAATTGCAAGTTTTTATCTATTCGACATGAGATTATTAATGAGAGTGGTATATACAGTCAGAGTTATGTATGACAATGTATATCCACTGATGTGTATATACATAGACATGTCTCTGTGTATATTCAGTGAGAAGTGTATATCTCAGTGTATATACACTGAGAGGTGTGTATCTCAGAGTATATACAATGAGAAGTGTGTATATCTGTGTATATACGTACACTGAGTATCTTAGAGTTTATACATTGGGAAATGTATCTCAGTATATACACACTTCTGTAAGTATATATACACTTAGATGTTTGCATCTCATTGTATATATGCTGAGATGTGTATATCTGTATAAAGTAAGGCCCCAGTTATACGGCAGGTTAGGTTCCAGACTACCACCATAAAACGAAAATCACCGTAAAGCGGAATGCCATTTTTTCCACTTATAAATGCATATAAATACCAGATAACAAATTAAACTAACATATATTAAGCTTAACAGTAGAACTAGGCATTAAAAATAATAAAAAGTAAAATACATACACAGTACATTCATTACTTACCTTAAAATTTTTGTAGTCTTAATGTAGGGTGAGAGGTGAGTAGTATTTATTGTAGAAGTCAGGTGTGGGAGGCGTGGTAGCCAGCCTGGCTACCATAACTACACAACACACAATATTTATAGTCCAGAGCAATAAAATACACATACAATACACCATCACTTACCTTAAAATATGTGTAGTCTTAATGTAGGGTGAGAGGTGAGTAGTATTTATTGTAGAAGTCAGGTGTGGGAGCTCCTACGAGAGACATGGAGACCCTGAGAATTGTTAACAAACACTTGGTCAGACTCGTATTAATACCTGCTTTTTCGGGTTCACACAAGTACATTTGCATGAGTTGGTGAAGCATTTACCCCACAATACAAACACTTATATTGTGTACAAATTGTCTTTACATTGGTGCAGTAGAATAAATAAATAACTAACACATCTCATATTTGTCAGATTTATTCTACTGTGGGTGTATGTATTATGTTTATATGTTATGTAGCATGTTTCTTATATAACTTTGAAAAAATATAGGTGGATTAATGAAAATGTATATACAGCCTCTCCTTCCTTAGCGACATACTTGTTTACTGATGCCTTGGACTTACAATGGGCTCTCTGACCAGTATACTGTATATTTCAATATACAGTACACTACTACTATATAAACATTTAAAAATATACCAGAAATATTATAAATGGTACAAAGGTGACATTAAAACAATATCAAAGATGGTTGACACAAACTCACTTCCATTATAGCATGTGCCTCACTTAGCAATGAATTCGTTTAACGACATGGTCTTAGGAACAGAACTCCATTGTTAAGTGAGGAGAGGCGGTATTTACATAATATATGACATTCAAAGCACTCCAGTGATTATTTTTATTATTATTTTATTTTTATTATCACACCGGCCGATTCCCACCAAGGCAGGGTGGCCCGAAAAAGAAAAACTTTCACCATCATTCACTCCATCACTGTCTTGCCAGAAGGGTGCTTTACACTACAGTTTTTAAACTGCAACATTAACACCCCTCCTTCAGAGTGCAGGCACTGTACTTCCCATCTCCAGGACTCAAGTCCGGCCTGCCGGTTTCCCTGAATCCCTTCATAAATGTTACTTTGCTCACACTCCAACAGCACGTCAAGTATTAAAAACCATTTGTCTCCATTCACTCCTATCAAACACGCTCAAGCATGCCTGCTGGAAGTCCAAGCCCCTCGCACACAAAACCTCCTTTACCCCCTCCCTCCAACCCTTCCTAGGCCGACCCCTACCCCGCCTTCCTTCCACTACAGACTGATACACTCTTGAAGTCATTCTGTTTCGCTCCATTCTCTCTACATGTCCGAACCACCTCAACAACCCTTCCTCAGCCCTCTGGACAACAGTTTTGGTAATCCCGCACCTCCTCCTAACTTCCAAACTACGAATTCTCTGCATTATATTCACACCACACATTGCCCTCAGACATGACATCTCCACTGCCTCCAGCCTTCTCCTCGCTGCAACATTCATCACCCACGCTTCACACCCATATAAGAGCGTTGGTAAAACTATACTCTCATACATTCCCCTCTTTGCTCCAAGGACAAAGTTCTTTGTCTCCACAGACTCCTAAGTGCACCACTCACTCTTTTTCCCTCATCAATTCTATGATTCACCTCATCTTTCATAGACCCATCGCTGACACGTCCACTCCCAAATATCTGAATACGTTCACCTCCTCCATACTCTCTCCCTCCAATCTGATATTCAATCTTTCATCACCTAATCTTTTTGTTATCCTCATAACCTTACTCTTTCCTGTATTCACCTTTAATTTTCTTCTTTTGCACACCCTACCAAATTCATCCACCAATCTCTGCAACTTCTCTTCAGAATCTCCCAAGAGCACAGTGTCATCAGCAAAGAGCAGCTGTGACAACTCCCACTTTGTGTGTGATTCTTTATCTTTTAACTCCACGCCTCTTGCCAAGACCCTCGCAATTTACTTCTCTTACAACCCATCTATAAATATATTAAACAACCACGGTGACATCACACATCCTTGTCTAAGGCCTACTTTTACTGGGAAAAATTTCCCTCTTTCCTACATACTCTAACTTGAGCCTCACTATCCTCGTAAAAACTCTTCACTGCTTTCAGTAACCTACCTC